ATCCACTTAAGCCTGAAAACCTGTGATGAGAAAGACAGTGCAGCCCTTTGTTGGGTAGAGCAGGATCCGGGGTGATCAGGCCTAAGAAAGAATATGTGAAATCCTGTGAAACCTGCTTTGTTTAGAATGCTCTCATTTAAGTGATGAGGGTCCAAGCAAGAAGTTTGTTCCTCAAAGTTTTATAGCTCTTTAGCTGTCTGACCCTGGCTGAGAATAAGCCCTCATAGTTCTTTGAAGCTATCTATTGTTTGATCCTTACCTGTATTCTTGTGCAAACGAACCCAATAAAAGCCCCTTGAGCGAGGGGCTCTTGTCCCTTCCCCTTTGAGAGATCGGCCACCTTTCCTCCCCGAGAAGGTTGTGTCTTGGTGGTTTCACCTTCATCCGTGGTAGACAGGAGGGACCTCTGGCAAAGTTGCCCCCACACCCTGGCTAAATCCTTGACTTACCCAAAAGCTTTCTTTTAAACTTCAATATCATCTACTGGTGTTAAAGAGGCAAGTAAGAATTACTCATTCAGGCTCACAGTAGACTGGGCTTTCTCTCTCAGACAATGTACCTGTAGACTCTTTGGTGATGGGTATTAACAGTCTCATGGAAGCCTCATTCTATATGTCTGCCCTCACAGGTTCCAGCCTTTATCCTCTAATGGCGCAGTTTCTGCTGCTTGATTCTTTAGAAATAAAATGGCTGAACAAATAGTAGAGAGAAATAAGGAAGATCTGAGACCAGCCTGGGAAGAAAGGGGACTTTGGGTCATTGGCAGAGCTTGCAGCTACTTTCTCCCTGAAGACGTACACAGTGTCCAGCCCAGGGGTTCACAATTGTTGGGAAAATGGCAGAGGGATGAAAAAGTTGGTGGCATATAAGAATGCTTAAGTTTAGGTTATAAAAGTGCTGGGCAGTCTGAGTATTGGGCCATTCTTCTCTCATTATCAAGAAAATCTTGATTTCTAAACATTTAAGGCAGTGCTTCCTTGCAATAGTAACTAATGGCCATTTAGAAAAAGAGACTGCAGGTTTTTTCTTAGATGTTATTCCTTTGATTCTCCCTTCTGTGGCATCTCTTAATTCACCATGATGATGATTATCCTTTTTAAGACTTCCCTGTCAAATATTTCCCTGTTAATATTCCCCTGGCAAAAAGGCAGAAGAGTGATTCTGGGTTCTAGATAAACAAAGCCATAGTACCATCCCTGTTTTATAGCAGCTTAGAATGTGTGTGTGTGTATGTGAGAGACAGAGAGAGGAAATAAAAATTTTTTGTTGTCGTAATATTTTCCTTTGCAAAATGGAGCTCAGCAGAAATAGCAGACCACAAACACAGGACGGAGCATTTACTCCAAACATGTATATTGAGCATCTAATGTGAGTGAAGCGCTATGCTGGGTATCGGACCCCAGCAGCACAACCAACAAGCTTTGAAAACCTGGCCATCAGGAAACCTGTCTCCTGGTGAGTGGCAGCTGACTCCCCACCCAGTGTATCAGTGAATGGGCTTCCACTCTTCACCAAGAGCTTTCAGCTCATTGCTGTGACTCAAGGAAGTTGAGTCTGGGTCAAATGCAACCTTGCCAAGTACTTTGTCTTTCCAAGTGATTTGAATGAGACAAGAAGTGACTTTAGAGTTAAGATTTATAGTGGTAGTAATACTTGTGGCCAATGAACAGAAGTGATAACATTGTCTTCTGTTCTATTGAACCTTCCATTTTATTTTCTGAGGAAATAAGTTTTCTCTCTCTCTCACTGGCAGATAAAATTCAAATGCATATGGGCATTCTCTCTCTCTCTCTCTCTCTCTCTCACACACACACACACACACACACACACACACACACACACATAGTGTTTCAAGCCAGCTGTTTTAGAGAGTCATCTCAAAGCTGCTATCTAGAAACAAAGTCCATTTTTTTTTCTTATCAATCACCTTAAAATTCTCTTTGAAGTAAAATCAGAAAGTTCACCAGAGTCATTTTCCTGGTTGGGCTCTCAGGGCACTTTGTATGTTCTTCTTCAATAGTCACGACCATTGGCGGAGCACTTGATAGGGGATTTGGATAGTTTTCCTCTCATCCTGACTAGATTTCAAGAGCCCCAGCCCTGCCATTGATTAGTGGTGTGATTTGGGGTACATCACTTCACTTTACAGTTTATTTTTCTCACTTCTTTTTTTTTAGATTTTATTTATTTATTTTTAGAGAGGGGAAGTGAAGAAGAAAGAAAGGGAGAGAAATATCAATGTATGGTTGCCTCTCACGTGGCTCCCACTGGGGACCTGGCCTGCAACCCAGGCATGTGCCCTGACTGGGAATTGAATCAGTGACCCTTTGGTTTGTAGCCCACACGCAATCCACTGAGCTATGCCAGCCAAGGCTTATTTTTCTCACTTCTAAACTGAGGAAATTTGACAAATTGAGCTTGAGAGGCCCTTTCATAAGTGACCACATTATAATATTCAATAATATTTGTGAAGTGAGATGTAGAGAATGCACTGTGACTTTGAATATTTTTTATTTTGTGGTTTAGTAAATTAAATATTTTAATTAGTAGCCATTATTAGAAAAGAGGAAATCTTAATTAAAATAGCTAATGTTTATTGAGTAGGCTTAAATTCCTACTTGACAAGAAGTTTTTTTGCTATAAAAACCATCTCATCTCTATTTTATACTTTTAATGTCAGTTGAAGAATTGTTAGAGTGTCATCAATAGTTACATCTGATTCAAGACATCTTCTACACAGAGGATTTGATGATGGAAAGAAAGAAAAATGAGGAAGAAAGGAGGGAGGGAGGGAGGGAAGAAACTAACATTTCCTGAGCTCTTACTATGTGTGTGGTAAGAAATGATTACAGAAACATGATTCTTGGCAGAAATTGTTAGATGTTCTCCAAATTCTAGGTCCTTTTCTTGGGAACTCAGCCACATTACATCTTCCAGCCTCTTACAGATGGCTGTATCTATGTACCTGAGCCCTGGCCAATAGAATGTGAGTGGAAGTGATACCCGGCTCCGCGTGTGACTTTAAAGAGCCTTCACACGTGCTCCATCCACTCTTTCCCACTTCTAGCTTACCTGGACGGCGATAATGCCAGGGTGATCTTTAGAGCCATTTGTTGAGGGCAGTGGAACTGCTATCGGCCTGTTAACCCTGAAGCAGAGAGCTGCTGCCAATGTGCCGTACCTGCCTCAAACGTCACTGAGTTCGAGGAAACTTGTACAACATCTGAGCCATTACATACAGTTAGGAGTCCATTTGTTTCAGCAGTTTAACATATCCAGCCTTATATGCACATTAATTTTCAAATCATCTCGTGAGGTAGATACTATTTATTTATTTTTTTATAAAGAAGAAACTGAAGCCCAAAGTGAGGAGGTGAATTTCTCAGATTATACAAATGGCAAAGCAAGGTTTGAACTTGAGCCAGTCCAACTCTGCTCATAAAGAGACTACAAACATTACATCCATGCATAGAGAAGAGTCTACTAGAGTCGTTCTGTAGGAAATCTTACCATACTTTTACATGTTGGACGAAAGAATGCCTTTTTATAAATCAGTGAGCTATGAAAGCAATTCTTACAATGCTCTGAACCCAATATGAGCAAGAGGCAATGTACCCTGGTGGCATTAGAGTCTGACAGGATCTAAATCTGCTGTTTGCTATCAGGGCATATTATTTAACTTCTACCGGTCTCAGCTTTCTGATCTGGAAAATTAAAGTAAAAATTAAAAATTAAAAAAATTTGACTAGGAGTCACGGATGAATGGTTATCTTTTCAAGTTTTTTTCCACTTCCTTGTGTCAATAACCTATTCTCCAAAATAAATAAATAAGTAAATAAATAAATAAAAGCATACCTTGCCCCCAATGGAATCTCATAAAATTACTCTGTCCTATGGTACGAAAACCTTCGAAAATAGGGTGCGTATTAAGAGAAATAATATTTTAAATATTGGAGGAAATAATAAATGTGAAGCCCCTAGCACATTTGTGAAGTGCCTAGCATGTAATAGGTGCTCAATAATATCATCTTTTTAATAAGGCAAAGTGAAGTCTGTGTTTGGGCATTGTGTTCAGAGTTGCTTGAGAATTTTGAATTTTCTTTTCTTGCATTTATCTATTGGAATGTGATTTGCCTTCTTATTAGCATAAGTCATATGCATCCTGCTCTGTTTTCAGGAAAAGGAGGTAATTTTGGCTGCAGCCATGTTCTCATCGGAGAAATAGAGGGCGGTTAATGGTTAGTGTTCAAGAACAACAAAGCTCTTTTAGTTGCTTAGCAACTGAAGCTGGAGGTGGGGTGGTCAGAGACTGTGTAAGCAGCGGTGAAAAGCAGAGAGGAGTTTAAAAAATGAATGTAACGTCTGGGTCATTCCCAGGTGGGTGAAAGAGATTTATATAGCGCTAATATTTACAGCCATGGCCTATTTGTTACGAGACTGGAAAATTTAATGAAATTGTTTGAAATTCAGCAGTGGTAAGTCACAGTGGACATTTATTGTTCTAATGCAATATGTAGACTATTTATTTAACATGTTGATTGCAAATGAAATGCGGGAAGGATTGAGCAGCCCTCTAGATTTGGAAACTCGTCCTTCCCCGCAGACACTACTGCCACCGTGTGGACGAGGCTGGGAGCCTGCGGGGAGCTGAGGGCCGAGGGATGGGCGTCGGGGGCGCGTCTCTGGGAAGAGGAGTGTGCTCTGCAGATGGTGTTGCTCCTGTCCTTGAGAATTTGAAAGTTTCTGGTACATTTTTAAGTTGGTATATAAAAGTATAAATTATAAGTTTAACTAACTGTAAAAAATATAATCTCCTGAAACGGCCATGTGACTCCTGTAAATGAATCCAAATCTAAAGGATTTAATATATACCCAGTTATTTTTTAAATACATGAGAATGCTCTTTTATTTTTTATTTCATTATTTTTGATATGATTATCTTTTTTTAAAGATTTTATTTATTTATTTATTTATTTTTAGAGAGGAAGGGAAGGAGAGAAGGAGAGACATATCGATGCGTGGTTGCCTCTGTGAGTCCCCTGCTGGGAACTGGCCTGCAACCCGGGCATGTGCCCTGACTGGGAATCAAACCGTGATTGTGTGGTTCGCAGTCCCATGTTCAATCCACTGAGCTACACCAGCCAGGTGAGAATGCTCTTTTAAATAAGTATTTTTTTACATAATTCCTTTTCTTTTTTAAACTTATATTTGAATTCCTCTTCCCCATTAGACAGATCCTAATGTTTTATACATCTTAGTTATATAAGTTTATAATGTTATACTTATTACATTGTATATATGTATATTCCTCTGTAACAACAATAAATATCTGAATTAGAATTTAAAAATTTAAAAACTTTTTGTAATTTAGAAATTACAAAATGTTTCTGTTGCTATAAGGCTGTAGTTATCTATCCTTTTTTAGTACATAATTGATTAAAAACACAAATATTAATCAATAATTTTTAAACATTAAAAAGGTAGAGTTTTATTTGGGCATATTAGTGAGATAGATGGAGCTCTTTAAATATTAGTTCACTTACCTATAATAAATATTTATTATGGTTAGAATGAGAAGAGAGTACGTATTTATACTGTCTATATCATTTTCTTTTCTAATTATAAGCTCCAAGAAACTTCATTCATGGAAACAAGCAATGGGACTGGATGAAATTTTATAGGTAACATAACTTTGAATTGTTTCTGAGCTACTTGCCAAATATGACCTAGTACTCTTGTTATGTATATATATTTGTATGTGTGTATGTGTGTATATATACATACCTATGTACATATATATACATACATATATATTTAGTGATCAGTGAACAACTGCTTAGTTTTGCTTCAATGGTATCGAGAGCAAAATAATTGAAAGCTACCTCACCTAGCAAAGGATTTCTTAACCTGTCATTAGAATCATTTCCTTTCTCTGCAGATACCAGGGCTTAAAATTCTCCCTGTGACGGACATCCCATAGATTTCTATGACCCACGCAGTGCACCTGTGTGACCTTCAGTTATGTAGGAAGGAGGTCCACTCTTCTTTTTTAATGGGTGAAAGAACTTTAAAAAGGAGGAGATGGGAGCAAAGAATTGTCACAACACAACATTGCAGTTACACTGCCATGAATTAGCCAGAGATCACCAGGGCTACCAGGGTCATCTGTTTTAGTCATTACTAATATGATCAGTTTTACAGATGAATATAAATAGAATGTGAAGATACAAAGAAAGTTGATTCCCTCAAAGTTATTCTAATAAACACCTATCCCTTGAATCCTCTTTTACACCTCAGGTTGAAATCACTGGTTTTCCCCCAAAGCCAGTTTATGGCAAAGTTTTCTGTAAGTCTGATGCCAGCTGGGCTGTGGCAGTCATGGTGAAGGGGGCACAGTTAGGTTTCCAACTTGTTGAATTTACTGAGTTGAAACACTATATTTTTCCATGTGTAATGCACACCCATGTTTTTGGCCCAAACTTTCAGGAAAACAGTCTTTCATTTTAATTTTTTAATTTAGTTATTTATTTATATTGAGATATTTTTTTATTGTAAAGGAATTTTAGTGTTTATTTTTGAACATATGATGGTACAAAACATTGTACATAGCAAATAATTACAAAACAGAAGAACAGATACAAGGTATTTCAGGTGCTACCCATATATAATGGACACTCTTATTTTTCCCTTAAAAATTTGGGCAAAAATTATGCATTTTATATGACAAAATATGCTAACTCTTTCTTATTTTGCTGTCATGTCCTCTGCACAGAAGGAAAATACGGTGCTAATAGCGACTTTGAAAGCTCATGCTGTGTTGTCCCTCCTTTGTCATGATTTTAAAGTCGTGTCAGTTAGGAGAGTCTAAATTAGGTGGAGGTAGTAAATGCCCCAGATCTCAGTGATTTGAGAACAAGTTTTATTTATGCTCAGGCCACACGTTCATTGCAGGTCACCATGTTTCTGTTCCTTGCTTAAGACAGTGGCAGAGCAGCCCCTCTCCGAGACACCCAGTTTCGCAGCAGAGAAAAAGCAGACGTGGAGAACATGAGCAGTCTCTTAACACTTCTGCTCCGAAGGAGCAGGCATCGCTGAGTCCACTTCTCATTGGAAAATGTAAGTTCATGACCTTTGCTGAGTTGAGCATGGTGAGGATGCGCAAACTCCCTCCGGGCAGGGGCCGCGGACATTCTGACCGACATCGCAACTTCCCACACCCATGGGAACCCTAAATCCGGGAATCACTGATTTATCATAAACAGAGGATTATCGTTTTCTAAAATTATTAGACTAAAAATGTTTATTTTAATTTTAAAATTACAAAATATTTGCACTATGGAGAATAGTACAGAGACTAATATAACAAAGACATGCGTACTTATAGCCCAGACTCACCAACTGTTGTTAATTTAACATCTGCCGTATTGACCTCAGATCCCTTTGTTAAAAAGGAGCTAAAACATTGTGGATGCAGTGGAAGCGCCTCGCCAACCCCATCTTACTCCCTTTTTAAACCCCTGCCTTTCTAGATGCCACCTTGTTCTGATGCTAGTGTGCTTTCTTTGTGTCTATTCTTTTACACGTCTGTTGCACAAGTGCTTTAAACTGTGCGTAATGTAAAATGTACTTATCTTTTGACAACTTACTTTTCCCATTCAGCATTCCATACTTTAGACATATGCATGTTGTTTAAAGTATTAGATAGGAATATGTGGTATAAATAGATCACAATTTATCCATGTTGTGCCTTTGTTTATAGCTTTTTGTTGTTACAAAAATGGAATGATATACCAGGGGTTTTACATGTTTGTCTGTATGTAAGACAGGAGTTTCTTTGAGATTTATGCCCTTGAAATGATGGAAACACTTTATCATGGGGCCTTGCGGTGTGGAGAAAGCTAATGGCTTTTGCATATCAGATTGAAGTTGTACGAATGGCAGCTCCGAAGTGGCAGGTTTGGCGGGAAATGGGACCATGGCCCAGTTTGTTACCCACCCAGTTTGTTGGTGGGTCTATGGCCTGTTGCATTCAGAGAAGCTGAGTTCTGAGGCAACAGGTTTTTTTGCAAAGAAAAGTAATATTTATGAGACAGCCCAATGAAGAAATGAAGAGAAAGTCCACATTCGCCTCTTGGAATAAAGATTTGAAGCAAATTTAAAGAATAGTGTTAAGGAGGAACTACGCATGTTCATGAATTCTAATTCAGGGGGAAATTCTGATTGGCAGCGTTGGAACGAGGCCATCTAAGGGGAGAAATGTGAAAGAGGTTGTGGGGGCAGGGTGAGTAATTTCAGAGTTTGGCTGTGTCCGTGTTTGGTCTGGTCCCCAATCATCCTTATCGGGTGGACCTCCTGCTGTTTAAAGGGCTTTGAATGGCTACAGCGGCACTTCTGTTGAGTTCCATGGACTTTGGCTCTGCGGTGCTCTGGAGGTCAGTTTAGCATCGTTAGGGCTCCTAACCACACACCTGCTTGAGGCTCTGGGCCCGGTTTGACCTGAGTAGGCCTGCTGGTCTCTGGAGTGCAGTAAGGTGACCTGGTGGTATCTGCTGAAAAACACTAAAAAACAAAAACCCCAAACTAAAACAGCGACGACAATAAAAAACAAAAACAGAGAGAGAGAGAGGAGGAAAGAAACCCATCAGGGTGTGGTTTCAGTGTTAGGGCCTGGTTCAGTCTTACCTGAAACCACGTGGGCAGAGAGTGAGAGACGGCTTCACGAGACGTTCCCAGGCCGCTGCGTTCTGTGCAGGGCATGGGAAAGACAATCATTCTAGAAAACTCACATTTTTCCTGGGAGCTGTGCGTGGTGTGGTGAACCAGCAGACTCAGAGACTCTGGGTGGATGAGGACGGCCCCACAGGGGATGCGGGGGAGCGGACTTGGTGTCCCAGGAACTCACAGTGGTTGTCAAAAAAGATAATAGGGACCCAAGAACAGAAAGAAGAGTGTGCATCTCAGGTGATGTCAATCTGAACAGATATGGACTGAGAGTCAGCTTGTCCTTCCCCTGTCCTGACGCCACTTGCTGTCGGGGACAGGGGCAGAGCTATACTGAAGCTGCTATTGCTGGCTGGTTTCTATTTCCTGATTTTCCCATCCTAGCAGAACCCCAAATGTGTTCAAGTGTCAACCCCTCCCTTACAGAGCCCATGTGCTTCATTTCCAGGGATAGGTCTAACTGGAATAAAGGGATCCTCTGTCTCTCGCCAGTCCTCGATCTAGAAATGGGCATGTGACACAAATTGGGCCAATAGGAACTGAGAAGACTGTTTCTGGGGAACTCTGAGAAGGTTCCTTCTTTCTTACTCCTCTGACTTTCAAAAGGGGTGTTTTTTCTCTGACCATGGCTTGCATGGAGCTGACACGGCTGCAGCCTGTGGATAAAGCTGGCATGCGGAGTGAGGCAGGACACAGTGACCGGAGTGAAAATGGGCTGGAGTCGTTGTCCTGCTTTCTGTGGCTCTAGTGATGGGAGCCAGTGAGGCCTCTGATTGCTTAAGCCTGTTTGAATTATGTTTTCAAATACTTGCTGCTACAAGAGAGGCAGGAAGTTGCGGGGGGCAGGACAGAAGCGGGCTTAGTTAACTGATATTATTCTGAATTGCCTGAAATTAATTTCTGCCACAGTGCTGAATAGAGGCTTAATATAGGAATTCATTTCAAGCACAGAATATATTCAAGCAGTCCTTGCTTTTCACGGTTCTGGGAAGTACGTATGTCAGATACCATGGATTAGTTAAATAACACCAGTCCCCAAATAACAGGGTTCAAATTTCAGTCAGTATGATATCATACAAGGGGGACCCCCCAAAACCAGAATTTATTTATAAAAAATTGTGTGTACTTATTCTTACATGTTTAAACTTCAGTCACCTTCCAAGTACTCTACATTTGATGCAATATACCTATTGAGACATTTTTTTCACTGCTCAAAAATTTGTGAGCTCATCAATTTCGATACTTTTTAGTGCTTCTGCTGGTTTTTGTTTCTCTTCTTTCAATTTATCAAAACATTTCCCTTTGAGGACTTTTTTCATCCAGGAAAACAAACAAAAAGGGTTGCTGGAGGTGAGATCTGGTAAATAGGGAGGGTGGGGCATGCGGTTCATGCTGGTTTTGGTCAAAAACTGAACACTCAGTGCATTGTGGGCAGGTGCATTTGTAAATCATCCAACATGAAATGGGCAAAGGCATTGAGTCTTCAAAAAAAAAATTCACTGCAGGTGAATGCAGCCTCTCACAACAACACCAGCTGGCACACTGATACAGATGGGTTCCTAGAACACCCACCTAGTGGGTGAAGCCTGTACTACAAGGAACCAACCCTCCAGAAGATAATTCTATTTTTGGTATATTGATTGTGAGTAATTGCATAAAAGTAGACGCTCTGTGCTTCAGTCCACAAACCACTACAATAAAAACAGGTGCCAGGCGTGACCAATGGCCAGTCGCATCACTCCTTTTAAAGCTTCTTTCTGCACGAAGTGTTTTCATGCAGACAGCAAAGCATGTATGTGGGTGGTCTCTGTGCTCCCCAGTGATGAAACACACTGCATTTTAATAAAATGAATACTCTATTTTCAGTCTGCAGCTGCAAATCTGCTTGTGCGGAGGGCCAACTTCAGTTAGACTTAAGTTAGACTTGGATTTCCAACTGCAAGTGTGCTTGGCACCCCTAAACTTCACATTCAAGAATTAACTGTACTTAGAGGAGAAGGTTAGACAACCAAGAAGAAGTGAAGTAAAGAAACACAAAGTGATCATACTGGAGGTGGGCAGTACTCGACTGTAAATGGAGGGAGAAAGGAATAGTTGGTAGAGGGGATGTCGACGTGACCACCACTTGAGAGACTCTACGTATGCAGTTACAGGAACTGAATGAAGGTGAATTAATCAGCAAAAGTGAGGAAAGTGATTGGGATGAAAAGCATGACAATGACCCAGAGAAAGTGATGTCTGCAAAACTCTAAATGAGTTCTTGGAGCTATTTCATGGAATCGAAAGGATAAAAATTCAGAAGCTGTCCCAAACTTAGGCAAGAGTATAACAATTCACTCATAACATAGAAATGAAGATCACTGCTTATCTAATTTATATAGTGAGGCATAAGTCCTGTTTAAACTATTCTTGATAAGTTTATTAAAAAGAAATGAAAACATTTTAATTCTGAATGTTTCTAATGTTTTAAATTATGTACTAAATAAATACTTGTTTCACTATTTTTACATTTCCCAAAATATTTTCAGTCAACAGTAAACATGTTTAAGGTTTTGATACATTTTGAAGGTCACCGAGCAGTTGTAATTTCACCTGCGTCCCTTTGCACCAGCCATTCCCTCTGCCCCAGACGCCCTCCTCCCCCGCCCATTTCTGGTCCCCCGCCTGACGTTCCCATACACATATTCCCAAACCAGTTCAAACACTAAGGTTACTACTTTGTGCGGTTTCAGCTGTCTGTGCAAAGAGAGGCATGCCTGTGTAATGAAGTCACAACTTCGTGCACGCCCGAGTTTGTGGTCTAAAAAATCCATACATCCTGAAAATAGGATAGGTGTGTGTGGAGGACTTCATCATTTTGTTAGAAGATTTTGCCTTAGCTTGATACATGACATGGCCTGAGGACAAGTGTGCTAGCCTGTCCTGGTCTCAGCTTTCTGGTTAAGCAGCTGTACGATCCACGATGAGTCCCCCTTGCTTCAATTTCCCCTCAGTGAAATAGGTGAGTGAGTAAGATGACTTTTCAGGTTCCTTTGGGAATTACGCTTCTTTAATTCTCTACCATCATTAAACAGAGGAAAAGAAGTAGAATGGTGTTCACTCTACCCACACGCCACCCACCCAAAGATTACTTCCATTTGCGTAGTAAATGTTTATTGAGTGAGTAAATGACTAAGTATGACTTAGGTGGCTGTACATTTTGTGGTGAGAATTGTGAATACAGATATAAATACCCATGGTCTCTGCCCTTAAGAAGCTAAGGGTTGTCTAGTGGATTAATTCATCGCTTATTATGGTACCTTCTGCAGAACCATGTGAGACAAAAAGCTGTACCACTATCAAACCAGTTACATTTATTTCCTCTTGTGAATTTGTCTCTATTAAATCCTGTATTA